GTTGAGGTTGTCATTGTTAAAAAATTAATTGCGAAAACATTTGTCTTTGAGATCGTGATGTGAGCTTTCGCTCAGACGTGGCAGATATAGTTCTTACGACTCTTAGATCAGGCGGCGTTTGCGTTGCGAGATGGTTATTGGAGAATATGTGCTAGATTGTCATTAAATAAATAAATGCATAAATATTAGACAATATGACATATGCTAAAGCACTCGTGTTATGGAAATCGGAAACAACGACGGTACCACATACACCCAGACCCGAGACAACATAGAAAAGTTAATTTTTTACATTGACCCGACCGGGGATCGAACCCGGGACCTTAAAGATGGCGACATCGTGAAAACTGGTGAGCAAGCACTCGACTTCTGAGATCGTCGTCATTGTAAATAGATTGTCACGTGTAGCTCTCTCTCTTTCTATGCTCAGAGCTTAGAATAATAACGCATAGAAACGTAGCCCGCACACGCTAAGTGAGGCAAGTTAGAGGGTTCCAAACGCGTCTCAGGAGCGCGCGGGCTGTTAGTGCTCAAGGTCATATTGCACCGCGAACAGCTCCAAAATTTTTTGCTAAAAATGACGAAATGTGCGGTAAATGGGTGTAAAAATACAACAGACAAACATAAAATAGACACTAACATCGCATTCCACAAGTAAGTAATGCGTTTCAACTCATATTTTTATGTAAATATTCAGTAAAACAGAAAAATAATTTCGCGGCAACAAGATACGAAAGTGTTGCAAAGTAACGAATTTTTTTTCTCCCCATTTTGCTATTCTGTATCAAAATAATTATATTACGTAAATTTTAGTGGTGCCTGTAATTTAGATTTATTTGCGCATCTTGAACTAATATTTACTTTAATAAACATTAAATGTTTTCGTTAACTCCTGTAAGTGATTGGGACACTTAATTATTTTATAATACTTTTAACGGCTCTGCGTTCATGCTTTATTGAATAATTATTTATTTTAATTTTATTTGAATTGGAGCACATATTGCAACAAATTTACAGTACTTATATATTTGTTTCTACTATAGTGTTGGCACCACCAGTACAACTTTGATAGCTTATTATATGTCTTTCTTTTCGTAACTCAAGCGAAATATTTTATATTAAAATATTTTATTTTCTTAAAAGGGGAGCATTCTTAAGCGATTTTTTAATCTATTTTAACAGTTATTTTCTTTAATGTTTGCTTGTGGCATTTTCGGTTTTAGGTTTCGAATATGGCAATTATTTCTAAATCCAAGATGCGGGCGCGATTTTTCGAATAATGGCAAGTTGGGTATCGTTTTCGAGATGTTTGGGAATGTTCAATACAAATATGGCACTCATTTCTAAATCCAAGATGGCAAACACGACAGTTCAAACAAAAGCAATATTCGTAATGAGCACCCCCAAATACCTCGAAAACGATACCCAACTTGCCATTATTTGAAAAATCATGCCCGCCATCTTGGATTTACAAATAGTGCCATATTCACATTGAGCATCCCCAAATACCTCGAAAATGATACCCACATAGCATTTTTTTGAAAAAATCGTGCCCGCCATCTTGGATTTAGAAATGAGTGCCACATTCGTAATGAGCACCCCCAAGTACCTCGAAAATGATACCCATATTGCATTTATTTGAAAACTCGTGTCCGCCATCTTGGATTTAGAAATGAGTGCCATATTCGTAATGAGCATCCCCAAATACCTCGAAAAGGATACCCATATAGCATATTTTGAAAAATCGTGTCCGCCATCTTGGATTTACAAATAAGTGCTATATTCGTTTTTCATCGACAAAACCGAGCACATCTGTAGGCACCTGATCGACAATGTCGGGCAAATCTGTAGGCACCTTTAACTTAATGATGAGTTAAGCAAGATACAATTTCCCCACTTTTGAGGGAAATGTTATTCCATGGCATCATTATTTGTATATTTGTGTGCGTGCCGACGAGCGTAGTTACAAGTTGCTTACGCCTACATGAATTTGGTTTTTGCCTCACTTGTGACAGTTCGTTTGATATGAAACTATCATTCTATGCGTTATTATTCTAAGGCTCTGAGTAACTTCATTCGCCACACCATTGCTGTATGCACTAACTAGTCTAGAGTCTGTTTTGGTATTGGTCAATAATGACATGGCAATCGTCATCCGCCTTATTTGATTTACCAGTTGCGTGAGGGCTAGTGGTATGGCAACATTGCGTGCTTTTTGTCTACTACCAAAATATGGAGCCGTGGTAACCTAATGGTTTCATCTACCGCCACTTAAGCAGGGAACTGCCACCTTACCTATTTCTGCCGTAAGGGGTGTAAGGGGTGCTGGTGAAATTACATGCACATGGGACTTGTCAACTTATGTCTCAGGGTGACGGGCGCAGTGGCAGTGATTTTGCGATCTTTGCGTTTTAAAGCTCTGAGTGGCACTGCAACTGTTATGGGCAGGCGTGTAGCTTACCAACAGGCGCGCGACTTGTACCTCCCGTCACTAGATTATATTAAATAATAAAATAAAAATAAAGATAAATTTGCAAATCCCTCGTTATCTTCTATATGCATTTCATGGGGTTTTACGCTGATAGGTTCAATTGTCAGTGGGATATATATAATAGGCGATGAGAATATGGAGACCAGAACAGATATCGCGGTGGTGGGCAACCTCCCAGAAAATAAAATTTATATTGTATCTATTCTTAAGCTTTGTCTACGCCTTCCAGTGAAATTAGCTTCTAATTGGTTAACAACATGAAAAATTTATCATATTGTGTGTAATTAACGAAGCAAAAAGCTTGTTACAATTATTTTGATAGGTAAAACGTGCTTGTGAACTAATTTGCTGAGATTTCACATGTGATTGTTTTAAGGCAGTGACAAATTCGAACAGGAAAATTGGAAGTTTAACCTATTTTTTAACAATTGTTGAAATCAAATTCTAATTTCAGGTTAAATGAGGAAGTACTAAAATTTTTTTGAAGATCTAATTTTCATAACAAACGAACAGCTACGACCGTGTGACCGCTTTCTGGCTAAAACGTGATAAACGTCAAATATTGTTTTAGGTATTTCACAAAACTCTTCAATATGGTAGAGTTTCATTTAATATTTTGTTTGTCGCAGTGGTAATTCAGGTAGTAACAATTCCTGGTTTCTTATTGTGATCATTCTTTGCCGAGGCCCGAGTTTCCAATTTAACTTTTGCTACCAATCATGAAACCCTTATTTATTTGATGCAAAATTACTTAGAAATACCAACTTGGAAAATTATGTTATACTCGTAAGAAATATGTAGGTATTGTCATTGTTAGTAGGTGTTTTTATGCATGATTATTTTGATAAGATTGATTATATAATAACGATAAAAATTACTTAAATTTTGTACAGAGAAGAACGCCTGCAGACGATATTTAGAAGTCTTAACAATTTTGCAAGTCTTTTGTTGCGTATTTCAAACTGTTTTTGTAATCGCTTCTTTAACTTACGATATTAAATATGTCGAGTTCTAAGGAATAATGAAATGCTTATCAAATACATACAACATAATTGTAACTTTTTCATTGAAAAAAAGCTACCTCAAAAGTTTGCTTATCGGCTTTTTTCGATTTCCATGGAATCCTCTCATCAGACTCTAACTTCTTGGTGGCAATGGGACGATTACGGACTCTTTTGTACATTTTTTTTCTGGTTGCATTGGTGACGGTGATCTGTTGAATACACGTATTGTGTCAAATGAAAAATCGACTTTTATTTGCGAAAATAATTAGAAATTTGTGATAGCCGAACCGAACTCAGAACAGCATCAGGGACCATCTCAACATCATACACTTTCTTACAAAAGAAGAATATTCAAAATCCGTTCGCAATTGATGGAGAAATTGGTGAATACACGGACATGCCTGTAAAATTTGAGGATTTCCTTCTATTTTCATGGGATTCCCTCATCAGATCCTGACTTGATGACAATGGGACCACCACGAAAATGCACCCTTTGAAACAAAAAAATAATTTTCAAAATCGGTCCACAATTGACGAAGACATGAAACACATACATAAAACATAAATACAGCCGAACGAGTAACCTCCTCCTCTTTTTTTGAAGTCGGTTAAAAATTTCACGCGAGTATCTCTAGCGTTGAGTCATGGAAAAATTTCCACTTTGAAAAATCGTATTTTACAGAAAAAATAATATTTTTCAGAAAAATAAATATTTTTCCGGTTATTTTTTCAATATTTTTCTCTATTTTTCCACACCTTTGACGTTGACACCTGTCAAAAGTAGAAGTTACTGAACGAAAACGATCGATCCAACGAGAGGTGGTGGCGATGTGGTTGTTGGAGGTTTTTTCGCTGTTATGAAATAAATCATTTTAAATCTCGTTTTTCTTCTGCGACTTTTAGCTATAAAAGTTTACTTTATAATTCACGCTAAATAAAACTTTAAAAGATATTTGTGAACGTAGAACATAATGTGAACCTTCTAAATTATAATTTTCCGATTTTTCGGAATTTTTCCGGAAAAATTTACACCATTTGAAATTTTTGGAAAATCACCCAACAGTAGGTACATGAAAAGTTGCAATAGCCGCGGACTGATACAAATAAATAAGTAAAAGTAAGATTGAACTTTTGTATATTAATAAAATTATTTACCTAATCAAAGAATTTGAGTTTACCAATGTTTTTTCCCATCTCATAATTGGTATCTTATTTTATTAATCAAGCGGAAAGGAAATAAAAATCCCTCATTATCAAAAAGGGCATTATGGGTAATTCAATTATCCAGCACCCAAAACACCCTAAGTATTTTCAGGGGGCGAGGTTCAGCAGAAACAGCTTTTGACAGCTCGGCTTCGAAGCTTATGCGAAAATTTATAGAAAATTGCATGGAACACGCGTTGCGAGTTGCGCCCATGGGGTGCGCGGTATCCGGGGGGTGTATATTTAGAAAAGCTTCATGCCAACTTCGACAGTCAACGCTCGATCACAGAGCGGAGCGTACGTTCTTGTGTCTTCCCACCGCTCTCGTATCGTACTCCCGATTCGTATTGCCGTAAATGAAAATTAATTAATACAGCGTTACTCATGTGTTGTGCCCCGAGCTGGATTTGATCGTGAACCCTGCTATTGTGGACTACAGCTTTCAGTGACTGTTGTTTGACTTTTTAATAACGCCTTAAAACGGACTTGTGTTTTAACATTGTTTGCTGATTACAAGGTATGTTTTAGTTTGTAACTTTCCTAGTAATAAGTGGTAATTTTAATATTAGCTATAACTTGAAGTAGGTACTGTTCTACATTTCCTATTCTGAACTTTTTAATATTTAAGGAAATGGATTGTTTGGTTGTAAATAGAGACAATAATAATGTTTAAGTTAAATGGTACATTTTGTCATTATTATCAATGGACACACTTAAATAGTTACTTGTAAAGATAATAGGACACGTATATCGTTTAAACAGTAACTGTAGTAAACATTACAAACTTTGAACACTTGTAATTAACTGCTTTTCTGTGATAAAGGCCACTCAAAACTTTTTTGTTTATTTTCACATATTGCTGCTACCATTGAACGATTGTTTCACTTTAAATATTGACTTGGCCTTCTTAGTACGGTCAAGCTTTATAGCCGTATTCCGTATAACGATGGGGTATCTGCTTATCCATAATTTATAATTAAAGTGTCATGTGCGATACTCGATACGCGGTCGAGCAGGCCTATTTGTATTTCTACTTCCTCCCTAATATCCAATATTCTGCTATTACAAATTATTTATTAGGAAATTGCAAACTGCGTGGTTAAATTTATAGATCATCTTTTTAACCAACACAAACGATATGCTGCAGAGACTAAAGAAACTTTGACATTTTGTCAAGTATCTGAAATATCGCTTCCTCGAGGAATCAACAAGCACAAGAAAGAAAAACTTTCGAAGAAAACTCGCCTCACTCACTTCGTTTTACGTTATTTTACCGTTCTAGGAAAGTTTTTACTACGGACAAATTTTTCACGGCGTCGCCGCATAGTTATTTGTATATCCTCTACCCGCAATCGTAATTCTTTTGCCCTTAGGTTATAGGGCGTTGAAACTGTATACTTATTAGAGAGTTAGATTGAACATGTAAGTAGTGTCTTGTACACGTTTCAATTTAGCAAAACGTCAGGCAAGGTTGAAAGATGAATGACGAAGGATAGTGTTACAGCGTGGGCAATCAAAATCCTCACCGTGCATCGGGGCGGCTTTTAACTACGGTGATTAGTTGTCTAGGCGTTTAGCTAAATAACAGACACTAGTAACTAGCTGCTTCAGAAATGCTATTTGTAGAATTATTTTATTCTCGTGGCACTAAAATCGTTCCCTTGGAACGCATCAGAGCTTACAATTAAAACAAAGTAGTGTATAAAAAAAAATTAAACGTATTTCCTTCGTTTCTCTGCTGCTTTCTTCCTAATGCATTTAGATATTTATCGTATTAATGATGTGGTATGAATTACAATAATTTGAATATAAATTATTACGTCCAAAAAGATATAAGATATCCAGCGGCGGGACTAACATGTCGTACGCCTGGTGGTAAGCGACACGCTGATCCATAACAATTGCAGTACCACTAAAAGCTTTACATCGCAAACATCCAAGTGATACTGCCACTGCGTCCGTCACTCTGAGACATAAGTTGACAAGTTCCAATGTGCCTGTAATTTCACCAGCATCTTTATCCTTCAAAACGGGAATGCTGTAATGCACACATTACTGCTTGACGGCAGAAAATAAGGTGGCAGTACTTATGAACTGTTTCACAAGGAGCTCTACTGCTATTGAAATGCTTATGAAATAATGGAACAACTGAACTATACTCAATTCAATAAATTGAGTTATTAATTAATGTATCCATTAATCAATGTAATTTACGTAAATGCCTCTGCTTTAAAAAATTAAGTCTACTTTCTACGGAGTATTGCCAAAATCCGTGGAAAAAGTAGCCTTACTTTTTCCTCACTTTGAACCCTATTTGGCCGGGTCATGTCTTGTTCCTAAACGACTCTTTCGGTTCGCTAGATATTTCAGAATATAAAATTGTAACGAATATTCGCATATTGTCTTTTTTAGGAACTCTGTGTTCGTTTTTATGTTTCTTGTCATTTTTGTACGTTTTGTCTGATATTCCAATACCGTTACGTAAAGATAATTAATGCAATCGACATTTCATAGCACGCTGTTCGTTAAAATATTTTAGTTTTCTTAACTTTCATCGGTAAAGTAATGAGAAACCATTCATTTCCGCTTACTAAAATTTTAATTGGAAAACTACTTTCAAGCTCAGCTGCACTAGGTTTAAAACATTGTGACAATTTCAAAAATATTTAATGAGCGTATGCGTTTGAAGTTTGAATTTTATTAAACTTTAGTAGGGAGGTCTACCATTACTACCAATTAGTTGATCGTAGGCGGTTTTCTTTGATAGCCAGCGGTTGTAAACAGAAAATTGATCCGGTCAGACCGCCCTGGAGCTCTGTCGCTTCGCATTTAAGCTTTCAATCAACATCTTATAAACTTATGTTTGTATATGCCCGAATAAATCAAAGTTCATTAAACTTTCGAACTCCATAATCTTTCTCGTAACAGACTTAATTTGTAAATCAATAATTAACAATCTTGGAAATTAGTTCGTGTTTGCTCAAAAATCTTTATATATTTACTTAAATCGAAATGGTATCACTTTTCGCATAATAAATCCACATCATCCATTTGTGATGAGATCTCTCGAGAGATTTAAGAAAATTTACATAAAGTAGAAACAAATAAGGTTATAAAAGCAACATTTATAAAATAAATATCTAATTTAGAATCAGGATATTGCATATGGAAATGATAAGTGCGATTTAAGAAGTACGGTTTCGAAATTCGACTTCACGTCGACAAATCGGTTTAATTTTTTGAGGTCAACGCCTGTTAATATCGCGATTTATAGTTCTTTTCGATCCTAGTAGTAAAATAACTTATCTTTGACTCTCGTAAAAAGAGGTAAACACAATTCAAAAGTTTTATGGGTGCGTTTCGAGAAAGATTGAACAAGAACGATTCAGTAGAATAAAGCCAATCCGTCCGTTTGTCCGCAGGCTACGCGCTAAGCACCGGGTGCGGTTCAAATAAATAGCGCAATATATTTTGGTAATACATACCTAACCTTCGCTTCCAATTATTACTGTTAATTGGATAGCTGTCAGGTAGCTTCGTTTTTGTTTGTCCGTTATTGTAATTAGCCAAGTGGTACGTTTTGACCTGCGGCAGTTACTTTGAATGTTTGACGGTTATAAAAGCTCATTTTGAAATTCTTGTAGCAGGCAAAATGTATCAATTGTACAAAAGAATTTTGTTCGCGAATGAATTATTAATCCTGTTCCATTTCGTCTCACGTTAAATCGCGGTCCAATAAAAATATCTTCAAAGTTTTTGTTGAAGTACGGTCATCAAATAGACATACATATTATATTAATATTTTCGGCTATCCACTGCTTATTTTTACTAAAATCTTAGGTAGCTAACGTCTTATTTTTGGCAGTGCAAATTAATGCGGCGTGAAAAGTTCACAATTTTTTTCCATTACCGGTCAGGGAGCAGCGGTTGACCTAACGCAGTTCCCGTGTAATCCAGCCCCGGGAAGAGGCGTTAAAACTTCCACAGAACTCCGAACTTATTTCTTACATTCATAAATATTACTTTTCCGACCAACTCTCTTTTCGAGTGAAGAAACTTGATATTTGGCATTTAAAAACCAAAAAAGTATTTTTTGATGGAACCCGGTTTCCATTCACCTATATGATGTTGATGACTGAGATATAATCTCGGTCTCTCTGTGATAATATCGAGGTGTTTAGTTATAAAGTACATACAATAAAAACGTGCATTTAAATGCCTTAATAACACGCTTTTAATGGGAAAGTTTACAGCTTCTTAAGAAGACAATTTTGAATTTATTTTGACTTAGTAATATGTTGAAACTTTTCAAATATTTTATAGGCATAGGAATTCGATATGAATATTTTATTAGAGTTTTGTTGCTTGGTAGGGAAGGGTAAGAAAATGATGGAATAGCTGGGATACCCTATATATTTAGCACACAGCACACGTTCTAGCGGGCTCGAATACATACGATATGAATAAGTTATTGGTACACAGGCCTAGACCGTTTGCTACAAAGGCACACACTACGAGCCGTATTTTAATAGTTAACTGTTTGTATTCGCGGCTCACAATGTAAACGGCAGAACATTAAAATGGAAGCTACATTAAAAAAAACATTTTATTTTTCAAAGCTCTCCGTTAATCGTATTAAGAGACTGTTTTATCACTGTTTTGACAAAAGAAATAAGATGTCTACTTATTTATTATGTTTGTAGAATTTGAGTCCTGAAAGAATTACTGCCGATTTTTCCAAGAAATCGTTCTCATAATAAGCGAAAAGAAACATTATGTAATGGGTTTTCAAAGAAAAAAATGAAAGAATGCTTTAAATTAAAAATATCCTTTTTACACAATTCTTTTCAAATTAGGCCTTATTATCCTGACCTTACTTGATTCAACCATTCATTTAGCCCACGCAGTGAATTGCCTAAATTCAATAGAAATGTCTAACAATTGAACATTCAATTTCCTAAACAAATATATACCTTCGTATGAAGCCTGATATCAGCTTGTAAGTATGGGAGATGAAAGGAAAGCAAAACACTGTGAAATAGGCTCCAACTGCACATTATAAACATAAAATAATTAAAATATATCGGTTTTATTTGACAAGCAGTAGTAGAAAACAACAACTACAAAAGAAAAAATCAAAATAGCAATAATTTTAACAAATGTGAAGTCTATGCTGCCACATAGTCCTTGCTGTTATTCTGCCATGAAAAAAATAGCACAACAAATAAAAATATATATTTCAGCATAGATTATTGACTATTAAATACGAATAACAGTAAGTTCAAATCATATTGACATAAATAATCATTAGAGAATGGAAATAATCAAGATAACTAGCTAATAATGAGAATTGTTACGTAAAATAATGAAATTAAATATTGTACAATACTAAGACTGTTTATAAAACGAATTTTGATTTCGACTAAGCAAGATGGCGATATAAGCAAGTTTTTAGTATTTAAAAAACGAACTTTGTCTAAGTTTTAAGCAAGAAATTACGAAGTAAACGTTTAAAAC